GTATAAGTTTAGGTTGTACCATAAAACAATTTGTACCATTATGTTATGGTACGACTTTACATTTTGAAATTGTACCATCACATAAAGGTACAAGTTCAAGTTATACCATAAAAGAATTTGTACAAAAAGTATAGGTACAATCTGTAGTTGTACCATAACGTAAATGTACAATTTTAAATTGTACCACAAAAGCAAAAACCTATAACACCAATACTATATAGCATTGTAAAATTTCTCTTGCTGCACTGGGTGCTCGACATTGTAGTGAGGAGGCTGCTCTAGAGCAGCTTGGTTGTCTGCCATTGTTGACGGCAGCGGCTAGGTTTTAAGGTGAGGCTCTGATACCATAGCAACAACTATGATATGGAAACCCTAAAACCCCGAGTTCTCTTTCATTCATCTCAAGCCTTTATAGGCAGAACAAGGAAAGAAGACAAACCAGCTCCTTACATTTTGTTTGGTAGCTTGGTCTGGAAACAAAGTACACTTGTGAAGAAAGTAAAGACAGAAATGGGAGAAAAGAAACGAAGACTGAAACGGGAAAGAAGGAACGATGACGTTTTAAGGAGGTAAGTAAAGAAACTGGAAACGACGTCGCTGCTCTCTTCTTCTTCTTCTTCTTCTTCTCAAAGCAGATGACCGTTAGAATTGAAAAGGGGGAAGATTTTCAATTGGAGCTGTCTGTTATTGACATCAACTACTTCACGCTCTCGGTGCCAGATTCTTTTCTCTAGCCTGAGCCGCTGCCATTATCTAGGTGTGATTATTTAGTTATTTTTGTTATAATTATGTGGAAGAAAGAGACGAAAATGGTGGGGTTACTTTTTATTTTATTTTTTCTCATATAAATTAATAAATATTCATGTGGCACAGTACTCTTTGCCACGTCACCAAGTGACATCCAACTCAGCGATAAACTGCCACGGAAGAGTCAACTAACAGTTGACCTAATGGAAAGTTAACAGTTTGGCTATCAAATTGTTTTTGAAAAGGTTTGGCTATTATTTTGTTTACAACGAAAGGTTTGACTATTAAATTGTATTTACCCTTTATTTATTTATTTATTTATTTATTGATGGGAGGCATAGAGCCAAGAACAAGAGAGATGGGAGTTACAGAGTGGAGGAGAGGGAAGAGCAGATTATATTACGAGGGATACCAACACCCCGCTCATCATCCTTAAGCAAACTAATCAAATGAGTTGGCGGGTTAGCTATCTCATGCATACAGATGAGACTGTGCTTCGAGAGCCAGTCCGCGACTCTATTCCCTTCTCGGTAAGTATGAATTCTGCTAATTAGCCAATCCCGAGCCACAAGACGTCTAATGGAGTTAAGAAGAGTTGAATACAGATGAACTTGGTCAGTTCTGTTCCGGATAAGATCAACTGTGAGGAGAGAATCTGATGCCACAATAAGGAGCCTGTAACCACGACTCCAAGCTAACTCGAGTCCTTGCTTAAAAGCCCATAACTCTGCATGAGTTGCAGAGCAATCACCTATATTATAGCAAAAACCTTCTAGCCAAGGACTCTGGTCATTCCGAAAAACACCACTTGCAACAGCTTTTCCCGGATTACCCTGTGAAGCTCCATCAATATTGAGCTTACACACCCTTGTGGGGGAGGCTTCCAAACAATGTTCTCCACCCGCCAAGTTGGTTTAGGGAGCACACGGTTTGGACTGATATCCAGGGCAAGCCACGCTTTCGAACCAAATGTGAGTCTTAATCCGGATGGCATGGCTCAAGGACAGGGGTGAGAGAGCTTTGCATCCGTTGCCGAACACACCTTCGTTTCGATTCTTCCAAAGAGTCCATATATAGAGAAATATTGAAAGAGGAGCTCCATGGGATACATTTGCTGTCGCAAGAGTCATTGAGAAGGTTCTTTTGTAACCAATAGTCCAGGTCAGCCGTAAAGAACTCCAACTTCTTGTTCTCTGGTACTGTTGTCGTCCAATGAAACGACTAACTAGCTAATCAACAATGAGTCCTCTTTATCTGCATGAAGGCACACTTTTCGGTCAAATTGAGACGAATGGAATAACAAGTTGGTGTTGTGTAAGTTTATCTTTGACTCAAAATTTCCTTGATTTTCAGCTGGTTCGGGTTAATCGATCAATGGTCATCCCTACTCGTAATCGAAAACTCATTTGTGTTTCATTTTTGGTGTATTATTGAAAATTCATTAGTTATTGCGGACAACATCCCTGATAGTTATTTGTATCTGTAAGTGATAAACAAGATGACTCATCAATTCTAAATGTTGTATTCTTGTATTATTTTTGGAGTATTATTTTTGGAGAAAGTGGAGTTGAATTGTCTTGTTTGGATGAACCTAAATAATGGGTTATTTCAAATGTGATGTTTGGTAGCCATCAATAAGGAGAAGTTTGTTACAAAGCATACTAGCATAGTGTATTGAAAATTACAACTCGAAATTGAGTTAAGGGAAAGAACTTTCCCATTTGATGCAACATCAACATTTAAACGCATGAATGTACAAATGAAAGTGCTCTTCTGGACTACCATATATGTCTAGCCATTTAAATACTCGTGGCTAGGGCTGGCTGGTCGGTTTCCAGTTAGTAGGTCGGTATTCTGAGGGGGTGTGATTGGTTTCGGTTAGCTGAATAACCGGAGGTGATTAACCCCGGTTACTAGGCTAACCGTAGCTAACCGACCTCGGCCCCCAAAAACCAATTTTCTCAGTCGACCCACCACCCCTAGAAACCTAATCCACCCACCCTTCGTCATCGACCTCCTCCGTATCTGTCTAGAACCCATAAACCCTTAACCCTTCATCCCTTCCCTCCCGCCTCCCCCTCCCCACATCGCCATCTCCACGCCGCGCTTCTTCGACGTCCCTTCGCCTTCCTTCCTCTTCCCCGATCAAATAGAGACAGAAGAACCAATCACCTTCCTTCCTCTTCTGCGTCGAGTCGAGCAGCTGCGAGGCTCCGACAAAGGAAGACAAAGCCGGAGACAGGACAGTCCGTTAGAGACAGAGCTGGCTCTACCTCCGTCACCACTCGCCGTAACCATGCCGCTCGCCGGTCGTGGTTCGTATTCCCGCCGGCTCAACGACCAACAACACCCCCATTCACTAGCTAGGCTCCTATTTCCTAAAACCTAATGTAAGTTTTGAATTTTTCCCCTTTTTGATTCGATGGAAATGGATTATGTGATGTTCTGTGGTGTTTTGAGGGATTGATTCGAAGGATTGATTCTCTGTGATTTTTCGATTTGTTCTCTGATGTTGGTTGTTGCATTGAATTAGGCAATTGGCTGTTTGTAGGGCGAGACCTCCGGCTCCTCTTGGTGGATGTGGCGGATGAGGTGCCCTTGCTGCTCAGGCTACTCCTCGTGGTGGTGCGGCTGTCACAGCCCCTCTTGCTCTGGCTCGTGCTTGTTGTGGGCGTTCAAGAAGTCGGTCTGTTGAAACTACTAAACCGTCTTCATTAACTCCATCGAATCCCGCCCCCTTTCGAGTCTGGAAGTACACCTATTGAGACTCCAACCACTACCATAGTTGGACCATCTTCATCAACTCCAACTATTGGCACGGTTGTTCCTACTTCAGAGAAAGTTAAAGGCGACAACATAAACCTAGAGAAATGGCTGAAGATGGAGGGTAAGGCTGATTGCTTGAAAGATTTTAAGAAAGTGGTGGTTGACGAATATCCGATGGGAGAGTGCAGACATTGTCATAGTCAAACCAAAGCTCATCCTTCCAAAAACGGGACTTTTGCAATGAATACCCATCAGGAATCGTGTATGGCTAAGGTGGCGACATCAAACAATCAGACAGTATTGAACTTGCAGACACCAGATAGTGGTCAAAGTAAAGTACGTCTTTTATGGAAGTTTGATCAAACAAAAGCTAGATATGTTTTAGCCTCGATGATGATTATGGATGAGTTGTCATTTCGACTCGTGGAGCGTGAAGGGTTTAAGCAATTCATGATAGTTGTTCTGCCACTATTTAAGATATCTAGGAGGAAAGCTATAAAAGATGATTGTTATCATATCTTCTTGGAGAAAAATGTGTTGTTGATTGAGTTTTTTTGAATCAAAGAGCAAAGGAAATGTTTCAATCACCACATATACATGGACTTCTGATAACAACAAAAATTATATGTCGGTCATTCTGTTGCGCCGGTTTAGTAAGTGGAATGGTTCTACCGGTGGTACAACCGGTTTGTGCCCGTTCATACCGGTTTTACAAAAAATGTAAAAATGTGAAAAACCATAACATCAATATTTAAATACAACATTTAATGCCAATAAGTAAATATTTATACTTGAATAAAAAAAATAACATTAACATTTAATTTTAAATTGATAAAATAATTGATAAAATCTTTTTTGATTAATTAAATTCACTAAAACGGTGTCATTTTACTTAAAAATCTTGAATTGATCATGTCGGTCATACTGTTGATATCATGCCGGTTTCGTGACCAGCACCAGTTGAACCGACATGCCACCTACATGACAACCAGGATTCCAAACAAGACGATTCACCAAATTACTACATTTCAAACCGACATAAAATATCATATAACAAAATAATGTAACATTTTGATTAAAAAAACCACAAAACTAAAATGATGTATCAAAAACCCGCAAAAAACAAAGGACACAAGTTTCTCCCAAAGGAAGCGAAAGCCAACGGCGAGCGAAAAAGCAACGGCAAAATATTAAATAGGAAACGAGTGAGTGAGAGAGGGGGAGAGAGCTCTCTTAACGTTTGCATCGCTTGTCACCACCGAGCTCCAATGGGACTGATACCGCCATACCGATGACGGATTGCTGAGCACAGCAAGCAAAGCAGCAGGCACCTTAATTCTTGTCCTCTGTTGCTTACCTCACGCTCGGTTTTTATGATTTCCACCTTCACGCTCTCCAAGTAAATCGAGCAACTTGAAAACCCTAGCGGAGCTCTGCAATCTTATCCTCAACAATTTCCTGAACCTTCTCGCTTCATCTACTGGGAAATGGATGGCTCCGGCTCCATTTCCACCCCACCGCCAGATGAATGGCGACTTGCCCACCAACGGTTGTTTCCTCAGTGGCAATCCCTTGCTCTTTCTCACCAGGTACCCTGTTCGTCTGGCTTGCTTTTTCAATTCCATCATTTGAGCTTTTGTGGCCTTGTTTCCGCCTTTGTTGCTCCCAGCTTCTGGGAGCTTTGAGAGAATTTTCCCAGGCGGATAACATGAGTCCCAGCCACTAGTTATTGTTTGGCAACGTGCCCTTTGAAATTTGGACTATTCGGAGAGAAAATTTGTGGGGAGATTTGCGTTCTTTTATTCAGGCTATAGAGAAATTCCCATTGTGTTTGATTTACTACTGCTACCAATGTCCTTTGCAAGGGTTTGATTGCTGTGGACTGTTATATGGCAGGCTCAGTTACCAATTGCCATTTCTAGGGTAAACCAATTTGATGCAGGGAGGCTCGATGTTGAAATGGCAGCAATGTTGAAGGAACAGTTGGTCAAGGTCTTCTCATTAATGAAGGTACCCAATTGTTGGTTTTGTGATTGTTGTTTGACTGAATATTAAAAAACAAATGTAATTGCCCAAAAGAAGAAAATAAGCTATGATAAAGTTGTGTAATGTTCTTTTCTTTCGTTGTATTTGGGGATTAGCCAGGGATGTTATTTCAATACGAGCCGGAACTTGATGCGTTCCTCGAGTTTCTGATTTGGAGATTCTCTATTTGGGTAGATAAGCCTACTCCTGGCAATGCGCTTATGAATCTGAGGTATCGAGATGAACGTGCGAGTGAACTAAGGGGAAAAGGTAAGAAGGTCTGCATTTCCTTTCTCATGCTTTCAGTTAACATGACCAGCATAAGAAAAGTTGCTTTGATGAACTGGTACTTGTGCTTCTCCTATTCTGGCATCCATGGAGATTTGATGAAGAGTTGTACTCTCTTTAGAAGTACTATTTCACATGCATACTTCAAAGCAAAAGGCGTTAAACACATAAGAGGGTGTGTGAGCAATTCACCCAGTCTGTGGATAGGTAGATGCATTGACAATTTAGGATAATGAAAAGTGGTCACTGGGGACTTCCTTGTCTTGCCTGAAGTTAATATACCAGGGGTTTGGTGTCAACGAGCAGGTATGCCTAAGTAATAGGAGTTGAACAGAAGAGAGGTATACTAATGGCATATTGTGGTACACAACAAATGTAAACCATTTCTATTGGCTTAGTTTCGTTTGCAAGTGTTATAACACATTTCTCTGCACAGTTTTTTAAGATAATGTTTTTTTTCTTCCTTTTCTGGGCATGTCAATGTATTGGCATGAAAATAAGGATATCAACTTCCTAAAGCACAAGGATAGCAAATTTCATGGTTGGCTATTCTTTTTGTTTGAGCCATCCTCTTGGTTGATGACTTGCGACCACTTTTCTTTAGATGAGGCAGTTCTTTTCATGCTGCCACTGCTCACAATGTCTTCACATAGTTAAGATACAATGTTTGTTCTTTATATAGAATCTTTGTCTTCTATATGTTGAATGATGCTTTGAACATTACGGTTTGTGAATATCTAATAATATTTCAACATAATCTGTAGAAGACTTGCTTGTAAGTTGGATGACCCTAGCTGAATTTGGAGTAAGATACTTGTGCTGTTGAATTTGGATCACAAGCATTACTCTGCACTGCTTCAGTTATGTTCCAGAAGCTTTAACTTGTCTTTTGGTGTGCATCTACAGTGAGAACAGGTTTGGAAGGACCTGGGCTTACCGTTGGTCAGAAAATGTGGTATTGCATTGCCACCGTGGGTGGTCAGTACTTCTGGGCACGATTGCAGTCATTCTCTGCTTTTCGTAGATGGGGAGACTCTGAACAGGTAATTTAATGACTTTTTTTTTTTTTTTAACTTTCCGCCCCTTTCATCCTGTGGATTGGAGAAATGGAAGTGGGTATTGATTTTGCTTTGATGTTTATCAGCGGCCACTGGCACGCAGAGCTTGGGTTTTGATACAGCATATTGAAGGACTTCATAAAGCTGCTTCTTTTGCAAATCTACTCTTATTTCTTTACACAGGAAGGTATGCTTTTCAATGCGCTTCCTGGATCTATAGGTCTAATAGTTAATGCTTGTTGCTGATATTGGTAATGACTATGTTCTATCTACGTTTCTAGGTGGTTCATTTGTTAAGTCATAAGGTGATGAATTTACATGTAATATGTCGTTGATGATCCCCATCCTTTACATTGTTGTGGACAGATTCAGACTAAGGCCTAATAACCCAGCAGAGTCAGAACCGTTTGTATGTGTTACGGCCTCTGACGGCATCACCATATCTGTATTTTCAAATGTAGGGCTTGGATTATTAGGTCAAGTTAAGATTGTTTGTGCTAAGATTAGAACCTATATGGTTCCAAATAGGTACTGTAGTATGCTGCCTTGGTTGAACTTTATTTCCTCTGCATGGTTAGTTTTGAAAGATTTGCTGATAATCTCTGCTTAGGAACACTTGGAATGATACCTTCAATGATCAGCAGCTTGTGATGGTTGCTCTCTTGCAGGTTCAGAAATCTTGTTGAACGGGCTTTGAGAGCCAGGCTTGTCTATGGAAACCCGAATATGAATAGAGCTGTTAGCTTTGAGTACATGAATCGTCAATTGGTGTGGAACGAATTCTCAGTAAGTATTCTTCAGTCAAGTTTGGCTTGTCTCATGGAATTTCATAGTGTAGTTAAACATAAGAGACGTCCAATTATCCTGATCCTGAAAATTTCTTACCATGATGATTTTTTATGAAGTTGATGTCATCTTTCAATGTTATATGGTGTTCTTGAGTTGTCAATTATCTTGATGTCCTCTTATCGTTTGGTTTATTGGAAATATTAGAAACAACAATATCATTTTTCCTTCGGTTACCACACAGTTGAGAAGTGAAAGAAGCAATCTGACTTGAAGAATGTCATGTCCTTCGTTGAGAATTTGCCATAATTTTGTTGCCAAAACTACTTGCCAGGTGTTACTGATCACTGATTTAAACTGACTTTCAACTGTTTTAACAATGTGATGGTATGCTTTGGAACATTTTGATCCAAAACTGCAGATTGGTTTTCGATGGTAAGGATTGGGTCACAATGCATCTCATCTTATTTCATTCCCACTTCTACTTACGAGTATTGAGGCCTTAAACATATATAACCTACTTATACAGAGTACGAACATACAAATTCCCATATACTAGGGATTCTATTTACTTTTTACAGGTTGAACTGTATCTTCCTGTAGACTGCATCACTCGAGTATCTGCTACTTACATTTGTTCTTTTAAATGTTACAGGAGATGCTGCTTTTACTTCTTCCTCTTCTCAACTCATCATCCTTCAAATCCCTATTTAGTCCCTTCTCAAAGAATAAGTCCTCAAGTTCCAAGTCAGATGATGGTTCTTGCCCAATATGCCAAGCTACTCCAACCATCCCATTTCTTGCTCACCCATGTCAACATAGGTATGGAAATCTCGACACTGCTGACTATCTAGGACACTTTGCTGCTTAAAAGCCTGAAAACTTAAATCTTGGGTTGGCAGGTACTGCTACTACTGTCTTAGAACACGTTGCTCTGCAGCTCCATCATTCCGGTGCCCCAAATGCAATGAACCCGTGGTGGCCATGCAGCGAGATGGTGGTTCGACGACTAATCAAACAAATCCCCAATCGATAGATCATTAGAGGGGAATTAGTGCAAAGAAATCTCTCATTTCTCCCCTTGTATTGTATACCCAGTTTACTGTATAAAAAGAGTATGCCTGAACTGGGCATATATATATAGATCATGATTTAGGATGGGAGGAATCAGAATTTTTAGTGGTCAACCATCTTTGTCTTCCCAACCCTAGACTGGAGTACGGGAAAATGAAAGGGAGGGGGGTAGGGTTCTCAATTCTTTGGTCATCTCTCTTTGCATCATTTTAATAAGTAAATTATTTTACCCTCTACTAGCTCTTCTGTGAACATGTCTCATTTCCTTAAAGTCCAGATAAGTTAGGTAGTGATATTAGAAAATACTTTCGATTATGCGTTGTTTATCAAACGTCTGGAGTGCTATTTTGAGAATTATATCATCAAGTCTTATATTATTACACATGTGAATTTAGTTTCTCATGGGTCACATTAACAAGTTGCTCTCCCCTAAATTACCAAACACCTAGATGCGTTTCGACATGAATAATTTTATAAATTTTACGTAACATGCAAAGGCTAAAATAACAAATCACTTTACCCATTGTCGGCAATTTCGATTTGACCCGTTTTATCCGATTTGTTTGACTTGTTTTGGGCGGGTCCGACCCGCGGGCATGGGTACTCACATCGACCCGACCTGCCTTGACTCGCCCCATTCTTGACACGTTTTTGCCTAAATTACATGTAATCTTAGTCAAATTACTTAGAATTTCCCTTTATTACATCATATTTTAACTACAACAAAGTCGTAAATTAATGAAAATCTCACTTTCTCCAATAATTTAACTACATTTTTTATTATCCAAGATAAGCCCACAGGGCATGGCCGGATAACACAGTTAAAAGAGAGACACTAACAAAGAACGGTAGTCCGTATGCAACCGGACTCCCGATAAGAGAGCCTGTTTTGCCACGAGGTGGGCAGCTCTGTTGAAACTCCGAGGAGCAAAGTGACACGAGGCTGATGAGAACGAGGGAAGAAGAGAGTGAACTTCCTCTAAAATGGCTCCCGCTCTTGAATGGGAGACCTGCTTCGATGTTACATCCTTAATCACCAATTGAGAGTCCCCACAAAAAGCAACAGTCAAGAAATTATGGGCGAGACACCATCTCATAGCATCACGAATAGCAAGTAATTCTGATGTATAAGGATCAGTAATATGCCATCATAGAATTTTCCAACTGCAAATGAAATGACTCCATCACCTGAGAAACCAACGAAGCCAGTAGAGCATCCTTGGGAAATTTTTGTAGCTCCATCGAACCGGACTAGAACACCGTCACTAGGGCATGTAGCATATGTTCTCCATGTATGAGAACTATGGTCTGTGGAAGAGTGTGGTGATGGCCTTTGGATTTCTTCGGACTTATAGACCTTCTGTGCCTCTGCCGTTTTCCATTCCTCCACCTGCACTGATAGTTGCTTGTATAAAACTTGCGCTTTGTATAAGATGTATCCATGAGTAGTCTTGCATCGGCCTTTCCATATTCTCCAGAACAAGAAGACTATGTAGGCTGCATCGTTCTTGGTGATATGGGGAGTAAAAAAGAGGTTTCTCCACGCAAGGTCCATAGAGTTTGCCTTCATCATATCTCTAATATGGTCGAGTTCTGATATTGCCCACAATTCTCTAGTGATTCTACAATCAAAGAAGCAGTGCTTGAAGTCCTCATTTGCCTCACAACAAATCGGGCAGAGACTTGATGAAGTAATTTTCTTGTAAAACAGAACTCCTTTAACTGTTAGGAAGCCACGTACCAATCTCCAGAGGATGAATTTGAGTTTGGGAGGTATTAGAATATTCCACAGAATTTTCCAGAATTTGGTGTTCAAAAAATCCGGAAGGGCATTGGCGAGTGGATTTAATCCAGACGAAAGGAGATGGTATCCTGATTTCACTGTGTAGTGACCAGACTTATCATAGTTCCAAATCAATTTGTCATCTTGAGGGGAGGATGGGAGGGGGATCGATAAGATTTTTTCGACCGTAACCGGATGAAACAGGGTTTTAAGTAAGTTTGTATTCCAGGCCATAGAGTTAGAGTCCAGAAGGAATGACACTAATGGATGATCAAGGGAAGCACCTGTTAGGAGGACAGGGCTAGATGGAGGGTCTGTTGGAAGCCAAGGATCTTGTAACGTATTTATCCTAGATCTTGATCCTACCTGCCAACGTAAGCCTTTGCTCAATAGGTCTCTCCCTTGCAAGATACCTTTCCAAGCCCATGAAGGGCGGGCTCCCTGGAGAGCTTGAAGGAAGTGGTCATTGTGATGGTATCTAGCTTATACATTCTAGCAAGGATACTATCCGGGTCACGAAGAAGTTTCCAAACTTGTTTTTCTAGCATTGCTACATTGAACTTATCAAAGTCTCTAAAGCCCAACCCTCCTTCAAATTTGCTGAAACAATAGGCAGACCATGATAACCAGTGCAAACCTTTTTCTTTATCTTGCCCTGCCCACCAAAAAGTTGAAAGTTGCCCATTCATCCTTCTACACAGATCATACGAAAGTCTAAAGCATGACATCGCAAAGAGAGGCGTTGCTGTTCCTACCGCTTTAATGACTACTTCTTTGGCAGCCAAGAACATGTGTTTTGTCTTCCATTGGCGTATTCGGGCTGCTAAAGAGTCCTCAATATATCGGAACGTTTGTATTTTAGATCTATGAACATGGGATGGTAGTCCTAGATAACGATCATGAGCCCCAATCGTTGACACACCAAGCAATCCGGTCATTTGAGAAGCTTCAGAATCTAAAACATTTGCACTGAACGTAACAACTGATTTCTGAAGATTAACCCGTTGGCCACTCACAACTTCGTAATCATGAAGAATTTCTAACAAGTTGATACATTCAGTAGAGGATGCTCAGAGGAAAAGGTAAGAGTCATCCGCAAAGAAAAGATGGGACATCAAGGGAGCTTCCCTGTGTATACGCATGCCATGAATGGTAGAATTGCTAATGGCATTCTCTATAAGGGAGGAAAAGGCTTCTGTGTATAGAGCGGATAGGAGGGGGGGAGAGGGGATCCCCTTGCCGAATGCCTCTTTGGGGATGAAAGTATCCATGAATATATCCATTTAATACAATAGAGAAAGATACAGTTGTCACTCACGACCTTAACCATTTGAGCCATTTGTCTCCAAAGCCCAAGCCTTTCAATAACTCGAATAAAAGAGGCCATTCTACTTTGTCATAAGCCTTTTCCATGTCTAGTTTCAAAGTCATCCATTTCTCCTTGCCTTGGGTTTTGGTCTTGAGAAATTGCATCACTTCTTGACCAATTAGGATATTATCTATAATTGATCTATCTTTTACGAAGCCGTTTTGGTTAGGGCCTACAATTAAAGGAAGGAAATGACCAAGTCTATCTGCTAGTATTTTAGCAATGATCTTGTAGAACACTTGGCAGAGTCCTATAGGTCTCATTTGTTTCATAGTCTCAGCATTTGGAATCTTGGGTATAAGCGTGATAAGAGTATGATTGAAATTATGTAATAATCTTCTTGTGTGGAAGAAAGAAAGGGTAGCATCACATGGTGACTCTCCAATAATGTCCCAAAAAGTTTGAAAGAAGATACTAGTAAACCCATCAATCCCCGGGGCTTGATAAGGGTCGATGGAGAAGGTAGCATCTTTTATCTCTTTTCTAGTAACTATTGCTAATAAGCATGAATTCGTATAATCATCCACTTTCCTTTGGAGACCCAACCTTATTATGAAGTCATGAACTAAAGGTTGATTAGATAGGAAGATCCCCATGAAGTATGCGATAGCCACGTTGGCTTTAGATCCTTCCTCTAAATGCACTATACCATTATCATCCATTAGGTAGAGGATTGTATTCATCCTTCTCTTCTGGGTTGTAATGGTATGAAAAAAGTGGGTGTTAGAATCCCCTTTATGGAGCCACATATTCATAGACTTTTGTTTCCAATAAATCTCCTCTTGAAGGAAAGCAGATGATAACTGTTGTTCAAACTCCTTAATTACCTCCCAATCAATAGTTGGGGGCATTTCTAAACGTATCAATGGCTAAGCGAAGTTCGTTTATTTTCCTAACTGAGTTGGAGGTGCCCTTTTTCATCCATTCAACAAGGTCATATCTTGCAGATTTGAGATTATTGAAAAATTTAAACTGTCTGGTACCAGAGGTTTGTTTCGCCCATGTAGACACAAAGGCTTGTCTTGCTTCCGAATTATTCGCCCAACGGCTATCAAAATGGAAGCGATTCTACCCCAAATTTTGAGGCAGGTAGAGTTGTATTAGAATATTACGATGATCCGAGCCTAGATCAGATAGGTGTGTTACCTTAGCGAGAGGCCATAAATGAAAGGCCAAAGGAGAAACTAAAGCTCTGTCCAGTCTAGCCATAATATGGTCCATAGCTGATCAACGGTTTGTCCAAGTGAAGCTAGGACCACCGAAGCCTAAGTCGTGGAGACCTTAGTGGAGGCAAAAATCTCTTAACTGATCCAGAGCAGGGCATCTGCCTCCTATTTTTCAGAGCTATCCAGGATACAATTGAAATCCCCAAAAACAAATAAAGGGAGGGATATAGTCTGAATAATGGATGATAGTTCATTGAGTTGGTTTTGTCTGGTGCCGAGTTCACAATGTAAATGGACAAAAATGCAGTGGGCTATTCCGAGTCTAGGGTGATGGCACTCTAGAGAAATGAAGTGGCGATTTTTGTCTCGAATAATACAATCTACATCCGCTGACCAGCCAACAGCTAAGCCCCCAAACAATCCAAGCGCACTCACGAGACGACTTTCTTTGAAGCCAAGTTGTTTAATTTTGCCTTCAACTAAGTCGTCTTTGTTTTTTTGTCTCACTTAGAAATAACAAGTATATCGAGTGGTGGCCAACCGTTTCAGCAAGTTGTCGATTAGTGGTTATAGGACCAATTCCTTGGCAATTCCAAAACAATATTCCCATATTGACAACAATAGTTTGCCTTAAAAGAATTACTAATTTCAATTTGCTCAATGGGGAGCTTAAGATCTAACTTGCCTAAGTTTATACTGAGCAAGATGGAATGCAGCCTCTCGCTAGGGAAAGCATATGATAATGGGAGATGATTTATACTTCACACACATAATTGTGTTAACAGTACTCAAGCAGATGTACTAAAGAGATGACATGCATATGATTTTAAACCCCAGAGGAGGGTTGATGTAGGCAAAATGAGTGTCTTGGTGGAGGAGGGGGGTTTTTTTTTTTTTTTTGACAAAGGGCAAAGAGTTTCATTACTTGTGGCAGAAGCCATCGGTTACAACAGTGGAGCAATAACATCAAGTACATGGATCCATTCTGCTGGGAGTTGTTTTTTTGCACACGATCGCGCTACCCAATTTGCTTTCGAATTTCTTTTTCTGTTTGTGTAGTCGAAACGAATGTCAGGGTGGCTGGATGCAAGGTTCTTGATGTGGTTGATCCAAACTGCTACTCGCCATGGCCAGTATTCTTTGCTGCTGGCAAGTGCCTTAATGAGGGAGAGGCAATCAGAAAAAATCATCCAAGGTGCTGCCAGTGAGGCCGCCATGCGCGCTCCCTCCCAAAGGGCTTTTGCTTCTGCTTCAAGTGGTGAAAAACAATGCAGAGTCTCAGCCTTCCCGTCACATACCTGTCCGTGGCAATTCGTCACAACGATGCCAAAAGCCGCCTCCTGTGAATCACTGAAAAAAGATCCGTCACAGTGTATCTCAAAGCCATGAGTACTTGGCGGTGGAGAGGAAAGATCAAGGGGTGGATTGTGCTGAGTTTGAAGGGGAAGATCTCTGATCTTCCTGGGACAGGTACTCCATTGGTGATGTGCATTCTGAGCTCTGGTTATTGTGGTGGGTGGCCAGGGAAGAGTACCTGTGAAAATGCGTTCATTCCTGGTTTTCCAAGTCTGCCACATCTGAAAAATGATCCGCTGGATTGAGAGACATGAAAACCGGGACTGCAGGGAGAAAAGCCAGTCCAACATGTTGGTGAGTGGAGGAGGGAGACTCAGTCCAGGCCACTCGCAAGCCCACCCTGTTTCCGCGTGTGGACATGCGAACAGGCAGTGGTGGATAGATTCAGATGGGCAGTTGCAGATGGCACATGCTCTGGTGGGAGAGCATTTCCTCGCAAACAGGTTTTCTTTCGATGCCATAGCATTTTTTGCACATTTCCAGACGAAGAATTTCATCTTTGGAGGGAGAGACAAGCTCCAAAGCCATTTCCATTTTTCTTTTGTTGCTTCCGGGAAAGGGTTATTGTCTCCTTGGCTTCTGCGAGACTGATTGTGAAAGAGGTGGAAAGCAGATTTTACCGAGAAGTTCCCTTGCTCAGAAAATATCCATGCCCAGAAATCAGCCATTATAGCCGGTCCAATAGGAGTGCCAGCAGCACTGAGGAGGTCTTGAGGGTCGAGTAGATGGCCCAAGAGATCGAACTTCCATTCCCTTGTGATAGCCTCAATGAAAGTGTCAGCCGTTGATGGATCATTAAGAGTGCAAGGGGTGATTGGACCTGGTCGATCAAAGCGCCAGGGGTCCTTGAAAAAATTCGTTGTTTCCCCATTCCCGATTACTCGAATCACTCCCTTCTCCATCCAGTTCTTCGCTTCCCAGATGCTTGCCCAGATCCAGGATGCCTTGCTTCCCTTTTTTGCTGACAGGAAGTCCGTTCTTGGGAAGTAGATGCTTTTTAGCACTCTCACCCACAGAGCATTTGGGCAGGTAAGGGCACGCCATGCTTGCTTTGCAAGAAGGGCCAGGTTATAGATTCGAAAAGGTCTGAACCCCAACCCCCTTCCTCTTTTGGTTCATAGAGGACATGTCCCGCTTTCCAGTGTATCGATCGCTTAGAGATGTTTCCTCCCCAGAAGAAGTTTCTGAGCATGGAATCCATTTTGTTGGTGGCTGAGCGTGGAAGAAGGAAAAGGCACATGATGTATGAAGGTAGTGCCTGGAAAACAGCCTTAAGGAGTGTTTCTTTACCTCCTGGTGATAAGAGTAGGCTCTTCCAGGCTTCTCCTTTGCTTTCCATTCTTTGAATGATGAAACAAAAGGTTTCCTTTTTCGATCTTCCCCACTCAGTAGGGACGCCAAGGTAGCTTGAGTGACAGTTCGACTCCGCAAATCCAACCGTCTGAATGATTCTTTCTTTTTCATCATCTGGTACATTGCGACTGAAGAAGAAGGATGACTTCTCTCTATTAACCTCCTGTCCTGTTATCGATCCATAGGCGTTGAGAATTCCCAGGATCTTCTCTGCTTCCGAAGTTGAGGCATCGCCAAAAATGATTGTGTCATCGGCAAAAAGGCAATGTGACAGGGTAGGGCAGGATCTATTCAGTTTTAACCCCCGGATATCCCCATTATGTACTGCTTTTTCAATCAGGAACGAGAGGGCATTAGACATCAATATGAATAGGAGGGGAGAGGGGATCACCTTGTCGAATGCCCCTAGTTGGGGTAAATTCCTCTGAGGGTCTTCCATTGAACAAGATTTTGAATTTCACTGAGTCAATACAGGTTCTGACCCATCCACACCATTTGTCATTAAAGCCATAGGCTTTCAGTAGCTCAATGAGGAAACCCCATTCCACCAGGTCATAGGAGGGTTGATGTAGGCAAAATGAGTGTCTCAATCCACCAAGTACGATCTAGCCTGAAATCGCGATTGACCTATTGAAATTACACAAGAAATAAAGAAAGAAAGAACGGGAAAAAAGCATTAGTAGGCGAGAGTACTCTAGAATGAAGATAAAGAGAGATAAGTAAGGGGCAGAAAGCATAAAGGAAAGGAAGCAAAGTGAGCGAGGGATGAGAAGAACAAACCATAAAGGGGAATTCTTTTAATCAAGATCCAAAACATAACATTCCAATGGAACAGCTCAGCTAGAAACAAAATGAAACAAGATAACAATTTGTAAACTGAAACTTACAACCAAGGGAAAGACCCATTGAGTGATTACTCTTTTCCAACGAGATCAACCACTTTCTGTTGAGGAGGATTCATCATGGATCTAAAAATGAAAGATTGGAGCCTAACTAGCAAACAAACCACTTGGTCCTGGAATTCCTAGTACCCGAGCGAATGCAGGGGTTAAGCAGGAAGAGCCAACAAGCTTAGAATTTGGACTAATGATCCTACTAGAAACAGTCAGCAAAGATGTTATAAAGCAGGCACAAACCAACTACAAAGGAAAGAATTTGGACTAATTTATCATAATATGATTTGTTTTCTTGGTCTTATAATGAAATCAACAAATATTTCTAATATTTTCCATATAAATTACGTACTTATTAGGCCGATCTGTCCCGACCCGCAACTCATAATAAATTACCCAACTTAAACCCGACCTGTCACGAAACGAGTATGGGTATCATGATACCCGCCCTAAACCTGACCAGAGACATTCCTAATTGTCACCACTATCGCGATGACTGAAGGAGATGATACATTCTGTATAAACAAATATAACCCGTATTGTTGTAAGAAAATTTAACATAACAGATCCAATTACATAGTTTTGAAAAACTAATTTCAAAGCCTACATATATTTTATTGGATGAGATGGATAGTAACACAGTACATATATTTTTTTATTCTATGTGTACTGATAATTTTATATGCTGTTATTTTCAGTTTGTCAGACAGGGGAAAGTGCACAAGAATTTTCAGAAGCGAGTTCTGTTCTGGCTCTGAGGCACGGTCGAATCATATCTCATGCTGCATACCAACAAATCAAAATGGGCCAAAATTTTACGAAATCATATGTTGCTCTCTCAGCTGCTTATTTACAGACAGACAGGTACACTATTTCAGTGGATCACATGTACTCCGGCCACTAATAGCAACTTAACAAGAACTAATTGTTGAATAATCAAACAAATATATATATATATATATGTTGTGAGTAAGATGGCAATTTCAGTCTCATTGTATATTACCGGATCTGATTTACGATGGAGTGGGTGTTACCCGACTTGTAGTAGTGTGGGACGGTCATGTGTATCTACTTATGCTCCGCTTCATTTCGTTTTTTTCTCATTCTATCTCAATTTCTTATAATATCTACTAATATTTCTTATATTTTAAATTTTCTTCAACTAGTTGGACATGATCTTTAAACTAGTTAGACCAACTCCAATGCAAGCCCCCAAATTTGGAGATCTTCATCCCCAAATTTGGGGTTCATCCCCATTTTCCCTTCTTTTGCTCCAATGCTACATCCTCTATATTTGGAGATCTCCATTTTTTAAGTTTTCCATTTACTTAAAAATGTACTTATCGAAGTCTTAATATAATTTGTTTATGTTAATTTTTGTATAGTTCGTCATCATTTTTAATTACAAATTTTCCGGTAGAATTTTTTTTAATTTTGAGACCAAATTTTTGTTGACAAAAAATGATTGACCTAATTTGGGTTTACACACAACACTTGAAAATTATTGATCTAATTAAACCCCTAACTAATCTCCTAATTAAACCCCAATTAACCCTTAAAATCTTAAAAAGAAAAAGAAACGCCACGTGGCGGGCTTTGGGGAGTCTCTATATTTGGCCCCATTTCCACCCCCAAATTTGGGGATCCTTTTGGAGATCTCCCCCAAATATAGAGACTCCTCCATTTATAGAGGCTCCATTGGAGCATGGTAAAGGAAACCGTACAGGACATCATATCGGATTCCTTTCTGGTAGGGTATTTTGTGGTACGACCGTGGTTCAACCGTTTCATACCGGTAAATACCATTTTTGTAATAATAAAATATATTTTTTGTCAAAAAACCGTGCCGCCAAAATCAGGGTATCGTCTCGGAGTAATATCGTATATATCGGAATATACCGGATAATAAATGAATAAATACAAGTAGTTAGCAAATTAATAAAAAAAGAAGAAATTTTAAATAATAATTATTTTTTATAAAAAACTTTCCCATCATTTAATAGATTAATACGCGTGCACTTAAACCTTTCCCCATCTACCATCTTCCGTTCTTCCTCCCATCTCTCTCTCTCTCTCTCTCTCTCTCTCTCTCTCTCTCTCTCTCTCTCATATCGTCGTCGCTCCCGATTCCACCACCATCGCCTTCCTCTCCCTCACCGGCCTCGCCTTCCCACCACCGCCGCCGAATCCGGGGAGGTACAGGCAGAGCGCGCCACATTTGAATTCGTCTTCGTCGAGATCCACCTCGTGTTTCTTCTTCCTCGCCATCGGCGAGATCGTCCTCGGGGAAGAATTGGTGTCGGAATCGGTGGTCGATTCGTCCGGATTCTTGAACCACATGTCGAGCTCGTCGGCGGCGCTCGATCTCACTTCGGCGCACGTCTTGCTCCGCCGCATGTGAATCTCCTGTTCCAGCGCTCGATCTCTCCTAATTGATCTCCCTTTGGCAATTTTCAGTATTCGAACGGTGACGTTTTCCTTCCAATGAGCCTACCGCCGGTTAGACCAAAACCGGGCGGTTTTTTCGTTTGTACCGATTAAGTCGGAAAAACCAGCTTACCGTATCGTTATTGGTCCGATTTCCGGTTTTACCGGTTCAACCGGCCGGTACGATCCGGTTTCCTTTACCATGCATTGGAGCCAACTTTCCCCTAAATATAGAGGCTCCCCCAAATATAGAGGCTCCATTGGAGTTAGCCTTAGACTAAGGTATCCTTTCTATTATCACTATTTTTCATTTATAAAATATACTCCCTTCGTTTTATAGTAGAAATAAAATTGTGTGTATATTTTTCAGTAACATGTAAGAATGGGTCGACTGGCCCCGCCCTGTTCCCACACGGGTTTTACCGACCCGATCAACACTTGGTGCGGGGCGGGTATGGATTTTGAAGTAACAACCCTGCCCCGCCCCATTGCCATCACTAGTTGTGAGTTGAAGTTGTGACCAGTTTCATTTGTTGGGTAAGGAAATAGAGGCTTTATAAGAAGATTGAACGATTAAGTAAAGAACACGATGTTATAAGTGGTTCTTCCTTACAATTAGGACTGGAAGTTTGGTATCGGTATTTGGGATATACTGAATACCGTACCAAATTTATCACTATTTGGTATTACCAAATACCGACTTAATTTTTAGGGATTGAGATTCATTTTGGAGTGCTATTCGATATTCAGGATTACGTGATTGAGATCGGTACATACCGAGATACCGAGAAATATCAAAAATAAAAAGTTAATAAAATATAGCACACAATCTTTGGTCATTCTTCAATCTTTCACAACTTAGAAGCTCCCATCCAACTCAATTTTGAGTTTCCCCTTTAAGTCAATCGCGTCTCTGACCTAATCTCTTGTTATTTTCATAACACCAAAAAACAAACACTAGTATAGTCGTCTCTCAGCCTCCAATTCGTCCAATTAAAGATTACAAATGACAAGAATTTGAGATGTCACCTCTCCTCCATTATCCTTATCCATATCCTAGCTCTAGACAAACTCAAGACTCGTTGTTTAGTCTCTTTGCCCTAAATTAAAAAATCAAATCTAATTTATATATTTAAATATTAATTAAAAATGTAATTAATTTCGTATTCGATGATACCAATTGGGATACCGAATTACCGATTGGGATACCGAAATATTTAGGGATTGGGATTTGTATTGATTATATGGTGTAAGTCGGTATTCGAGATTTTGGTATTTGGTATTGGGATACCGATACCGTACCGATTTTCACCCCTACTTACAACATGTGAGGGTTACATCCATGGGAGAATGTCGATTTCTTTTATTGGCCAACGACCTTACAACGATTTATATACCCTTCTACACTGGAATCAATTAGGGTATGTGTACAACAAGGCAAAACTACTAGAAGCATAACGACAACTCTTGTATCTTGTCCTCCAAGAGACATTTGCGTGAGGAGCGGGTTGGGCCTCCTCATGCTCTGGGGGACCTGACGGGACTCGGTCAAATACTCCCCCCCAAGGTGATATGTGGAGGTCACACACATTCAACTTGGACAGTAGAAAACAACCTATCAACACCAAGCCCTTTCTTAAGGATATCTGCAAGCTGCAACTCAGTCCGAACTTTGACCGATAAGAGTAACAATCCATCAAGACAAGTTTCGTGCAGTCATGGAAGACATGATTGTTAGTAATATGACAGGCTGCTTGATTATCACAATGCAACAGAGTAGGATGAGGTTGCGAGACACCCAATTCAATTAGCAGCCAATAAAGCAATATAACTTCACTAACAGTGCGACCATGACTCAATACTCTACTTCAGCCAAAGAACGCGCAAAAGCACGTTGCTTTTTTATTCACCATGAGATGGGAGAACCAACCAAACTGATAAAATAACCAGAAGCAGACCGTCTAGTCGTGTGACATCACCCCTAATTTGCATCACAATAAACAATAATGCGAAGAGGATTGTCAATGGCAAAGAACAATCCTTGTCCCAGCAAGGACTTGAGATAACGCAGGATACGGTCAGCAACATCCATGTGCATAAGACTAGGCGCGTGAACAAATTGACTAAGAATGTTCACCGCATAAGTGATATGGGGACGGATCACCGTCAAATTGAGAAAATGACTGACTAAGCTCCAACAAGAAGACAGACCATCCAACACTTCATCACTTGGTCGAGTAAGTTGATGATTCTACTCAATGGGAAAGACACTCTGACGAGAAGACTACACACCTGCATCCTCTAAAATATTCAGGACGTATTTGCATTGAGTGAGAGCAACACCATCTATAGTACGAGTCGCTTCTATCCCAAGAAAATAATGGAGAGATCCAAGGTCCTTGATGCAAAAGCAATCATGAAGGAAACTACTTGATCTTCACAATGAACTATAGATAATTTCCTGTCAGGATTACGTCATCCACCTATATGAGTGAAACAAAGAAAGTACTCCCAATAAAGAAACAAGGAATGATCAACAAGAGATGCTCGAAAACCTTGTTCGCACAAAGAAGCAGTGAACTTGGGATACCAAATACGTGACGCCTGGCAAAATAGCGTAAATTGACTTATGAAGTCGACACACACGTGTGTCTCAAGGAGCACGAAAAGCTTGTGGGGTCTTTGACACGCTAAAACACAACACCAAACTGCGACCAAGTGTAATCGCAGTCCAGAAATGCAGTAAAGTGGCAAGCTCTATTTGTCAACCCGGGGTCTAGATCTACTGCCTACTCCGTGATTATCTATTATCTAGCAAACTAAGTCGAGTGATTGTGATTTTAAGCAAAAGCAGTAAGAAAGCAAGAAATGGTTCGAGGTTCTTAAGCAAGGGAAGAGTCATTCGGGAATGAGTCCCCCTAGCTCCTTAGTTAGGTCAAAGTTGTAATTTCTTTTGGTTGATTTACTGTTGATTAAACTTCGGAAGATCCGTCAGTAGTTTGGAATCTCTTAAGCGGACCAAGCCCTCTCAGACAGACTAACCGGCAGGCGACTAGCCTTCACCGAGATAGACTGTTGAGGCAATAAACACAGAACTCCACTACTGGAATTGGATTCCAGTACAAAGCAATAAATCGATTAACTCTCGTATAATCAATCTACTACTACCGATTGTTGAAGCTCTAACAGCCTAATAAGATTCGAGATTTTTCCAGAAATAACACCTTTAAAAAAAATTACAAAAATAGCACCCATCCCACAACATTTACAAAAATAACACCCTTTTTCTGGTGCGTTTTATATATAAACCGCACCTTGGCCAAGCGGTTTCAGGTCTGACTTACACAAACCGCTTGGCCGAGGTGCGGTTATGGCCCAGCCTACCAAAACCGCACCTTGGAGATGCGGTTTTGCCACACAAACCGCACCCCCCAAGTGTGGTTTGTGTGTCAATTATTTTCCGACACCAGACAAGCAGCCATGCAGATTCACAGACGTGGGGCTGCATGGCAGATGAAAAACGCACCTCTAAGGTGCGGTTTTCATTGATGATTTTGCCTATAAAAGGCAGCCAAGAAATCTTCTTCTTTTCACACCTCCTCTCCTTCTCCCTTTTCAATTTTCTATTGTAGCTTCATATTTCTCTAGTGTTTTTTGCGGTTAACGTTAACTCGTAAGTTTTTTTTGTATTACTTTTTATTGTGAATTGTGATTTTTGGTTTTTATGATATTAGTTGAACTACTGTTTTTTTTTTTTTTTTTGCAGATGGCATTCCAAAAGTTCACGCTTGGGTTACCGTGGAATGGTTACACAGAAGAGAGCGGAAAGGGGGTCACCTACGTCGGTGGCAATTTTCAGAAAATAAAGGTCGCTACTAGACCGATGCTTGAAGACCTCTATCAAATGTGTACTAACGTTACTTGCATGGATGGCACGAGAAGAGTTGATCGTATGGTGTACTGATATCCAAACAGAGAAGGCGGGTCGTTGTGGCACGAGGAATATCTCATAACCACTCAGGATGAGGTAGATGACATGCTCGAATTCTTGAGGTCCAACAAACTTTCCAAAGCCGAGATGTTCGTTTACACCGAGTCGGTCGTAGGTGTTGGAGGTCATTCTGGAGACGGTCAAACATCTGGTATCCATGGTGGAGGTGATGAGTATGGAGATCATCCCTACCAAAGTTACCATGATCCTCATTCCTATTTGCAGTACCAAGAGCAAGGTGAAGGTCATCATCAATCTTACCCGTCATATGAAGAAGAAGTTCAACCGGACCATGCCAACCAACCCCAGCACAACTTCCACTCAGGCAGTGGTAGTTTTCACAACTACCATTATGGAGCTGATGAAGGTGCCTTTCATGAGCTGGATCACATGGAAGATGCCCTGCCAGCACCAGTCAGTGACCCCTCCGATGAAGAAGGAGAGAACAATGTCAGTGCAGACAGCTCCGACCCTCTTGAAGGTGCTGATGATTCAGGACCAGAGTCAGACTCAGATAATGATGATGAGGTGGCTCATGACCGTGTACCAGTCCCCTACTACAATCACAATCCAGACGGCAATTGGATGGTCGACAACGACATGGAACCGCCGGAGGTTACAATATGGGGTCCACTCACTGGGTTTATGAAGGGCCAACAATTTGGCTCGAAGAAGGAGGTGCGATACGCCATTGATACTAAAGCAATGACTCGACATTTTGAATGGCACACAACTCATTCCAAGAAGGGGTGACTCTCGTAATGGTCTCTAAAATACTTCGTTAATCAAGTAATTGAGACTTGGTGTTTCCTCATTGGTGGCAAGCGGTCGGTCGCATCAACGCTCCCATTGACTGGTACTTTCACTCCCAAAACACTGTGGATGAAATAAACCCAACCGGGCATACCGTCACAATCCTCGGGTGGATGATCACTCGCGCACACCGGTTTGCCGTCGATGGGCAGATGGGTTAGGATGGCGACATCCTTTAGCGTGATGGTGGCCTCTCCTTCTCTAAAGTTGAAACAATGGGTCTCCTTTCTCCATCTCTCAACTAATGCGGTGATGAGTTGGCGATCGACTTTGATGCCGTTAAAATGCCTAATCGGGTCCAACCGTGCCCTTTTGAGAAAGGGCAAGATAGTTGGGTGGAATGGGAGCACATTGGTCGTACCCCTGTAGCGGAGTATTGTTTGTGCCTCCTAGCGAAAACTTACACGTTAATTATTATATATTAGTAAGGCTTTTTTCTTATAACTAAATTAATTAAATTATTTAAATTCAAGCATAATTTTATTATCATAAAAATACATTTCATATAATTAACATAATAACATTCTAAA